TGGAACCCTTTAATTGAGGATTCTCTTAATAACATCATCACTTTGGATGGTGCCTAGGTTTTATCTCCTGTGTCTGTGCCAGTTTGGATACTGAAGGTCTCTAGGATTCAGCAGAATCTCTCATGGTGAAAACCAATTTATTGCTTTCTTACCTTCCACAATTTCTGATTTCACTTCATTTTGGGCCCTGTAGAATCTTTTTTTTTTCTTCCAGTTTTATTGAGATGTAATTGACAAACAGCATTGTGTAAGTTTAAGGTGCACAGTATAATGATTTGACTTGCATACATTATGAAATGTTTGTCACATAAGTTTAGTGAACATGCATCATCTCGTATAGACACACAGTTAAAGAATAGAAAAAAATATTTTTTTCCTTGTGATGAGAAGTCTTAGGATTTACTCTACAGCTTCATATGTAACATACAGCAGTGGCAATTTTATTTACCATGTTTTATATTACATCCCTAGTACTTATTTGTCTCAGTGGAAGTTTGTACCTTTTGACTGCCTTTATCCAGTTCCCCTTCCCTCACCCCCTGCCTATGGTAACCACAAATCTGATCTCTTTTTCTGTGAGTTGGTTTGTGTGTTTGTGTTTGAAGTGTAATTGACCTACAATGCTATGTTACTTTCTGTTATATAGCATAGTGATTCAGTATTTTAGTACATTTCAAAATGTATAGAAGTGTATTTCAAAATGTCTTTCAAAATGATCACCATGTAAGTCTAGTTACGATTTGTCACCATACGAAGATATTACATAGTTATTGAATATATCCCCCACACTGTACATTTTATACCCTTGACTCATTTATTTTGCAACTGGAAGTTTGTACCTCTTAATCTCCCTCACCTATTTCTTTCTTCTCCTTACCCCCTCCACTCCAGCAACCACCTGTTTGCTCTCTGTATCTATAACTGTTTCATTTTTGCTGCGTTTATTAATTTGTTTTTGTTTTTATTTATTTATTTTTTGTGGTACGCGGGCCTCTCACTGTTGTGGCCTCTCCCGTTGTGGAGCACAGGCTCCGGACACGCAGGCTCAGCGGCCATGGCTCACGGGCCCAGCTGCTCCGCGGCATGTGGGATCTTCCCGTACCGGGGCACGAACCCATGTCCCCTGCATCGGCAGGCGGACTCTCAACCACTGTGCCACCAGGGAAGCCCTGTTTTTAATTTTTAAATGTACTTTTGGCTGCGTTGGGTCTTTGTTGCTGCTGGCAGGCTTTCTCTAGTTGCGGTGAATGGGGGCTACTCTTCATTTAGTGCGTTGGCTTCTCTTTGTGGTGGCTTCTCTTGTTGTGGAGCATGGGCTGTAGAGCGCAGGCTCAGTAGTTGTGGCACATGGGCTTAGTTGCTACACGGCATGTGGGATCTTCCTGGACCAGGGATCAAACCCATGTCCCCTGCATTGGCAAGTGGATTCTTAACCACTGTGCCACCAGGGAAGTCCCTAATTTATTTTTTAGATTCCACATATAAGTGAAATTATACAGTATTTGTCTTTCTTTGACTAATTTCACTTAGCATAACACCCTCTGGTTCCATTCATGTTGTCACATATGGGAAGATTTCATTCTTTTTAAAAAAATGGTTGAGTAATATTTCATCATATATATGTATATGTGTGTGTGTATTTATATATGTATATACATCTTACATCTTCTTTATCCATTATCTATTGATGGTTACTTAGGTTGCTTCCATATCCTGGCTATTATAAATAATGGTGCAATGAACATATGGGTGAATATATCTTTTCTAATTTGTGTTTTCATTTTCTTTGGATAAATACCCAGGAGTGGAATTGCTGGATCATATGGTAGTTCTGTTTTTAATTTTTTTTTTTTTTTTTTGCCATACGCGGGCCTCTCACTGCTGTGGCCTCTCCCACCGCGGAGCACAGGCTCCGGATGCGCAGGCTCAGTGGCTATGGCCCACGGGCCCAGCCGCTCCGCAGCACGTGGGATCCTCCCGGACCGGGGCACGAACCCACGTCCCCTGTATCGGCAGGCGGACTCTCTGTGCCACCAGTGAAGCCCTATTTTTAATTTTTTGAGGAACTTCTGTACTGTTTTCCATAGTGGCTGCACCAATTTACATCCCCACGAACAGTACACGAGGGTTCCCTTTTCTCCACGCTGTGAAATCTTTAATTTGTGGTTGCTCAGCAAAATGTTAAAGTTTTTTTTTTTTGCATTGCTCTGGATGTCTACTCTGCATAATGCCAATAATAGAAGTCTTACTCAACCTTTCACAATATGGATGTAGCATAAATTTTAATTGCTTCTTTACTAAGGGATTTAGGTTTTTGTTTGTTTTTGTTTTGCTAAAAAATTATGAAGTAAAAAATTTTTTTGCATGTTCTTTGTGCACACATGCAAGTAGTTTTCATCACCAGCGGAGTGAGGCAAAGGAGCAAGATATGATCATTTTTATCTAGCCTTTTGTGTGCTACTTAATTTGCGGATTCTTTACATGCCACTAGAATATGTTCTCATATTCTAAAAATTTCCCACCCAAACAAAATGCATTATCATAAGCACATTGTTGTTTCTGAATAATCTATGTTCAGGTTACCATACTTTGGAAGTGTACCCAAAAACAGCATTGCCACTGATCCTAGATTGTGTTTTTGCAGGTGAACAACACTTTTTATATATGCTGAATCATTAGAAAATAGAAGTTATGTATCAGCCTGCAGGAGAGTTCAGAACACAGCTTCTGTTGTTTCTCAAATAAAGAAAACCAAAAGCCATCATAAATTATGTTTTTCAGATGGCATAATTACAAATAAATGAGGAAATGAAACAGCAGGCTACATATCCTTGATAGTTTACAGTGCAGGGTCACATGGCATTGATTTCCAATGTAGAGGCCTTTTATCAATACAAAGCAGTGACTATTGTAGATTATATGATGCTGAGTATTAATAAGCATGTTTTGTGCATATCTGTTATATGAAAATAATTTTTCATTTCATGCTTTAGTTTTCCTTTGTGGCATTCTGAACTGTGGAATCCTTTGTCTATCATTTGGCTTTCCATAAACTATCAGGCAGGATGTCTGTGAGTCTCTACTTTGAGAAGTAGTGTACATAATACTTATTTATCATGTACCAGTCATAATTACATTATCATGATATATCCTTTATCTTCAAAATAACGTCTGAGAATTCATTGTCTTCTAACACTAGAAAAAGGTGTTTTCTAAAGACTTTTTCCAGAAATCCAAATGTTTCTGGGGGCTCTTTCCAATCCTCATACAATGTATCTTTGGCATTTTAAAAATTGAGAACTAAATTTTCTGTAATTTTTTTTGGTTTGAATTTTGTCTATGTAATTATTCTTTGAGATAGACATTTGAATTTACTCCATACTCATCCTTGTTTAAAACTCTCATAGCTGAGATGTCCTCAGGCTTGTAGATTGGCCAGCTTTGATGACATCTCTCTGGCCTTTGAAGTTGGCACAGTTCAGTATAGATACCTCAGGGGTGTGTGGCCATGGAAAAACATGTTTTTGTTGTTGAGTGTTCTTGCTTTCTAGTAATTTTATTTTCTGCTCAAGGGATTTAGTATCTGTTCAGATACTTTATTTTTAAAGACCATATAAGTAATGACTTGACCTCTAATCTTAGCTTTGAAAATTTCCCAGACACTAATAAAGATAATGTCTGATGACCTATTATTTGAGAATACTATTCACTGGCCAGCAATCAGTGCTATTTAAAAATGTATATTTTACTCTGAAAATTATTTCCATGGCCGAAAGACTTTGTTAGTAAAATCATGCATGTAATGAGATGATGTTTAGTTTTTTGCTAAACTCTAAGTTATGTTCAAAGAGAAGAAACTGTCTACTTAATTAATTGTATTTTTCATTGTTGTTCTTTTTTGGAATCTGTTATAACCCAGTTGGACAGTCCTGAAAGAGATTTGAGTAATTGAGATTTTCCCTTTCTTCCAGTGGAAGGGAAATATTTCAATTTACTTGCTTTAGGCTATAAAATAGTTTACTCTTCCTTTGCCCACAGCAAGAATTATGAACCTAAAGTCACAAAACAGATTCAGTATTAACTTTTTTTTTTTTTTTGTGGCACGCGGGCCTCTCACTTGTTGTGGCCTCTCCCGTTGTGGAGCACAGGCTCCGGATGCACAGGCTCAGTGGCCATGGCTCACGGGCCTAGCCGCTCTGCGGCATGTGGGATCTTCCCGGACCAGGGCATGAACCTGTGTCCCCTGCATCGGCAGGCGGACTCTCAACCACTGCGCCACCAGGGAAGCCCCTCAGTATTAACTTTTAAAGTTTCTCCATATTTCCACCCTCATCAACTGTAAATAATGTGCCTGAATGTAAAATGGAAAAAGTTGAAAATTTCCACTTGTGCATTTTGAGCTTTTCAGAGGTATTATACACTCTGGATATAATAATAAAAGATACTGGGCCTTATACAGAGCTTTTTGTGTGAGGAACTCATATAAACACTAATGCATTGATCCTAACACAGTACTTGATTGTGACTTTAAAAGGTCATGAGTTACTGCTGTTACAAAAATTTTTTTTAAAGGTTGGAGGAGGAGCTGTAATTTACAAATATTGTTTGAAAGATATCTAGATAAAAGTTGATACAGGAAACTGAAAAATTAAAGTTATGGGGGATTTTTATTGTTTGTTAACTTTTCTTCTAGCCTACAGTAGATTTTTATCCCTTTATGTTTTTTTTTCCTTTTGTCTATGAATATACTTGAAGCCCAATTCCCTTCTTAAGACCAGAAGGCACAATTTACTTTTAAGCTTTTATTCCTTCTCAGCCAAGAAGGCTTCAACCTGTGGAGGTTTCCTGAGTTTGTCATAACATAGTAATACATTTTATTTGTTCTCAATTGGAGATCATCCTTCTAGTTTTCTTAGTTTAATATTTGTGGCATATAGTTGTTGATTTTGATGAACATAGTAGTCACGTGGCTTAATCTTCAACTTTTTTGTGCTTTGTAGGTTTATTCTTCAATCCAAGGAGGCAATTCATAATCAGCTGTTAGAGAAACAGAAGATAGCGGAAGAAAAAATTAAAGAATTGGAAGTAAGTAAGTTTTGACTGAATACTGATAGTCGTAGTCGACTTTTAGGAAAAAAGTAATTATCGTGTCATATTAAATGAAAATGTATGCCTGCCAAGGTCATGTCACATTGTTTTCATTTTTTCTAATTGTGCTAGAATTATGAAGCAGTCTTTTTACAGCAGTGTATAAGACCAGAAAAAAGACTAATCTCTTGAAACCTTAGGGAGTTTTGAAGAAGATAGGATACTGTTAACCTGAATGTATTTCTTCCATTGCCTTTAAGTGAACATGTCTATTCTTAAAAAATATAATAAAATAAAAGCACAGTGTATATTTAAACGCCATATGTTGTGGTGGATGGGCATGAGAGTAGGTAATGATAATAGTAGTCAAAGGATCTAGTTTTATGACTCTTTCACACATTGTAATTCTAGACAAGGACTGAGTAGTAAGCTATAACTAATTAACTATCCGAAGGGTAGTGCTCCAGTGAGGAAAACAATTTTTTTTTTTTTTAAGCTAGGGAAAAAGATGATAGGTAAGAGTAATAATTTAGTAAATCTTTGGAAAATTGGAGTTTATTATTACCATTTCTTTATACATTAAAACCTCAGATAAAATAGTCTTCTTGGGCTTTGGTGAATGGTCTATCCTGTATATAGTAAAAGTTGGACAGGACAAAAAAACTGGTTATTATTTTTTGGGACCAAGATTTCCTGAGATGGGGGTGGATACAGTGACTTCATAGGTCACTTTATCTAGTTTCTTTGAATACCAATTGAGGCAGTGGTTCAGAATCTGACTCAGCCCTCTGCTGAATTGGTGAGACACCCCATGTAGCCTTCAGGGGATTTCTCAGGGACACTGACTTGGCATGGCTGGGGCAAGCATGTTGTATCTTAGGTTACTTAGGGTTATTTTTGTTTGACTACCAATGAGAATTTAAACAAACTTGATAGTGGCTTTGTAGCTCAGAAAATGTATTATAAAACAAAACAAATAAGCAAACAAAAAAAAAAGGAAGAAAACTTATCCTGTAGTAACCAGGTTGTTATTATATCCTATTTTGTCAGCCCAACTCTTCTAGATTGAGTTTTCCAAACAAAAGTATCTTAAAAAAACTGAACGAAAATATTTCATGTAGATTACCAAAAAAAGTGTTTTTGCACTTGTTGGTAAATATATCTAAAAATTGTCCTGATGAATAAGTAGCAAGATGCAAAGTAACGTGTAATTAATTCTTTTTATGGAAACAAACAAAAACCAAGATCTGTATATGAACATTGAAAATGATTTGTAGGTATATATATTAAATTAACACTGGTTACTCTAAAGAAATTAGATGGGACATGGGGATAAAATTGTTTTTTTCTTATAACCTCTGTGTTGGATAAATTATAACAAGTATGTGTCAACCTTTTTTTTTTTACCATCTTTTTTGGAGTGTAATTGCTTTACAATGGTGTGTTTCTGCTGTATAACAAAGTGAATCAGCTATACATATACATATATCCCCATATCTCCTCCCTCTTGCATCTCCCTGTGTTAACTTTTATAATTTAAAAAAATCATCAAGGTAAAATTGCCACAGATGATGAGTTTAGCATACTATTCATTTCTGATGAATATTAGGAAATTCATTTTCCAAAAGTTTCGTTTCACGGAGTCTCTCAAATACTGGTAAGAGTATCCTGATATCTGTCAGGTAATAGAAGTAGATTAGCTAGCTTGTTGGTATTTGAAATGCTAATTAACAGCTACAAAAAACTAGCAGAGTTAAACTATAGCCTCTACCCTAGGAAGTTATTTTATGTTTTTAATCTTTCATCTTATACACTATTTATATTATAAAAATGATGTAAGTATACTATAAAAAAGAAAAACAGTCAAAAACTAAAACATGATTAAACAAAAATAATGACTTTCTCCTCTTTCTGCATACCCTCAAAATGTCACTTTTATGGTTTGATGTGTATCATTACACTTTATAAAACTTTATTTTATAAACAAGTTCATACACACATATATACACTTTTTTTGAGTAAAGAGGGATTATGCTGTATATAATGTTTTTCATCATTTGACAATTTACCTTTCCATTTTAGTAATGTAAATCTAGTTTATATTGTTTCTTGTTTTCCGTTTATCCTACCATCATAGTTTCCTTATTACCTCAACATTCAATTATTGCATGATCCCTGCCTCTGCATTTAGTGTTTTCTCCAATACTGCCCTAACCTGTATTTTTAATGGTATCACCCACTACACACACTCTTCTCTTCCCTGAAGCAATCCTATACTTTTTGACTGCCATACCTTTATAATTTTGTTACTTCAGCCTGAAATGTATACACATGTGCACAGACCCACATGTGCATGCATGCACACATACATTGTTAGTTGCAGTGTTCAGATTTTCTGTTTCTTACTGATTATTTTTCCTCCTTATTCAGTTAGTTATGAGAGAGTTGTGTCAGATCTCCCTCTGATGATATTTATGAATTTCTCCTTAGTCTTTCAGTTTAGTGGGCAGTGGTATTTAGAAACTACTATCTGGGTGCTGTAAATGCTCATTATTACTGTATGCATAGTTGAGATGATATGTTTCATTTTGCTTTATATGTTTAGGAATTTCTCAGCTCTTTTAAAGATAGCATTCCATTGACTTCTGGCTTCCATTGTTGCTGTTTAGAAGTTATCAGCCTAATTTTTGTTCCTTTGTCTTTTCTCTGTGGCTACTTTTAATATTGTTTTGTCATCTTTCATGCTGTGTAGTTTCTCTGGTATATGTTTAGGTGGGAATTTAGTCTTTTTGCTTTTTTTCTTAATCCTATCTGGGTTAAGTTGAGTTTTCTGAGTTTGAGGATTAGTGACTCATCAATTCTGGAAAGTTCTTACTATCTCTGAATCTTATTTCTTCACTGTTTTCTCTTTTAAATGGTATTTCCCTCTGGAATTTTTTTCTCACCTTTAAACCAGCTGTTTCCATCATCTGTAGTAGCATCTTAACTGGTTTTTCCACCTCCAACTTTCTCTGTTCTAATCCTTTTAACATATTGAAGCTAGAATGACCTTCTAAAATGTTAAATCTGTTGTATTGTTCCTCTGTGTAAACCCCATCATTGTTCTTAGGGTAACATTCAAGCTTTTTAACATACCTTCAAGGCTGTTTATGAAATGACTCCTATTTCTTTCTCTCATGTCCCTCATATCCTCTTCCTTCTCTTACACTGTATGCTCCAGACATGCAGAAATAGTTTGTTTTTAGAACTTGCTGTGTTTTCTTTGTTTCTACTAGGTCTTTGCAAAAGTAATTCTCTCCGCCTGGGAACTTCCTCCTTCTGCTCTTACCAGCTCTGTTAATCCTTAAGATCTTAGTTTAGGGCTACTTCTTCTGAGAAGCATTTTCTGATTCCTCAGTGTTAAATTAAGTGCTTTTCCCTTGTTCTGTCTAATTATTCTACTAGTTTCATAGCACAGTGTGAGGATTTGGGCATATAAACTATCATCAGTTGAAGTAATTACAAATATGGTTTCCTATTACTTGGGAAGCTTGATGCAGATTCAGACCTCTAAATAGTTTTTCCCAAGGCCTTCCAGTTATTACTCTGCCTTTCAAATATACAGTCTCTTCTTCTGGGCCCTAGTATTTCTTGTCAGTCCAGCGTATTTCATCTTATTTAATTATCATTATCATTATTAGTTTCTACCCTCAGATACCTTACAATTAAATTGAGGAGGCATAATTTATACATAACTCTGCAGACAAAGGCCAGGCTGTTTAATTTAGCACATTTTCATCTCTGATGAAGTAAGCTTTTTGGTTTGGGTCCAAAGTTCTAGTTTTTGACCAGAGCTATTAACTCGGCCCCACTGTGTGTGCCTACCCACCCCCTACCAACCGTCTATATAAATGACGCTATGGATCATTCTTTTCCATGACATAACATAGGTGCTAGTCTGATCGGAGAGCCCATCTTCATTAGTATTTTCTGGACTTGCTTTTATCCACCTCCATTCTTTTTTTTTTTTTTTTTGCGGTACGCAGGCCTCTCACCGCTGTGGCCTCTCCCGTTGTGGAGCACAGGCTCCGGACGCGCAGGCCCAGCGGCCATGGCTCACGGGCCCAGCCACTCCGCGGCATGTGGGATCCTCCCAGACCGGGGCACGAACCCGTGTCCCCTGCATCGGCAGGTGGACTCTCAACCACTGCGCCACCAGGGAAGCCCTCCACCTCCATTCTTACTGTTTATGTTTGCCCTCTCCACATTTTTTTCCCCAGTCCTACTTAACCTAGAATTTGTTTAGCTTTTGATAACTGTAGTATGCTGTGTCTACATTGTCAACCAGCCTGGTGTCTCACTTGCTGCCCTTTTCTTCTTATGGAGCAGAGGTGGGGGTACTGTAATGCTGCTGTCATGTCCTCTTTCTTTTGGGCCACGTGGCGCATCATGCGGGGTCTTAGTTCCCCGACGAGGGATCGAACCTGCTCCTCCTGCAATGGAAGCATGGAGTCTTAGCCACTGGACCACCAGGGAAGTCTCTGCCCTCATGCCTTCTTTTTTTTTTTTTTTTTTTTTTGCGCAGTACGCGGGCCTCTCACTGCTGTGGCCTCTCCCGTTGTGGAGCACAGGCTCTGGACACGCAGGCCCAGTGGCCATGGCTCACGGGCCCAGCTGCTCTGCAGCATGTGGGATCTTCCCAGACCGGGGCACGAACCCGTGTCCCCTGCATCGGCAGGCGGGCTCTCAACCACTGCGCCACCAGGGAAGCCCCCTCATGTCTTCTTGATAGGGAGTTATATTACATACTAGAAGGGTAAAGACAAGTACCATCTTAACCTTGGGAAGATAGTCTTTTTCTTCTTAAAATTCCATATTTTACATTTTAATACCCCTATGTTGGGTTCTTCAGGCTGTAATCACTTTCCTGGGTTTGACTAGGAAGTGTTTTCGTAACAGACTCATAATGTGATAGTGTTACGTAGATTTTTATCTTGCCTTTCTTTATAGAGATCGTT